CAGTGACAATAAAGGATTATCTATCTATCAATCATCATCATTATAATCATATGGGTGATGCCCGGTCACTTATGATTTTATCAAATTTAAAGTGTTGAGTTTAGCAGCACGGTTTTGTATATCAAAAGAATAGTCTTGTATTTTAAACTGTAAAATGTGAGACTAAGAAAAATAAGTGCTCAACATAAAACCACTTGATCACAGATTCCACTGGACAGTTAAAACAGTGAAACTGATTCTCCCACAGATTTGCTGACGTCAGTGACAGAGACCTCTGAGCCTTCAGTCACTTTAGAGGACCTGGTCCCAGTGGCGCCCTGCTCATCTTGGTGTATTTTTCTACAGCAGGGACGCTTCCTACAATTTCACAGCATAGTATGGGAGGAAATCCTGGGAGTAAAAGATGGAGATAGGCAATCAATCAAGCAAAGGTCAACTCCACCCAACATTCTAGCCTCACATGCTTAGACCAACAGGTAGTGAAGTGAGGTTCACTTTAAACAGATCAAACAAGCTTGTGCAGTATTAAAACAATCCAGGGTGTTTGGTGGTTCAAACGTGCATGGCAGTAAGTGGCCTGAATCACTGACCAGTGGTCTGATGACCAATGTTTCAGCTCCGTTTTTATACCTGTATTTAATCCTACCATGGTTAACACTGAGGTATGTTGTCAAATGTGTATTATGAATACACCATGTCATAAATAGCTTTGAGCTGATGTGTGAAGCTAAAAGTGGACTACGGTAATGTATCTGCTTAAACTACCTAACTACAATATAAAAATTGCTTTTCTCAGGTAATACTTATTCGTCTCATGTTTGATGTCTCAACTTATTCAAAGGAAGCAGCACAGGGAAACGAAAAGAACATTTACAGTATAACAAGCATGGCAAAGGCTGTGCTGGAGAAGGATTAGTGCTGATCTCTGGCTAGATTTGGGTTTATTGCCATTTCCACACATATGCATGACATAAATACAGAGAAACAAAGTGTTATTCATACACCCCAGTGCAACACAGAACAGACATCGAGGACAAACTTGTGCAATAAATGGAAGCACCAGAGACAAAGCTAATGAGTCAAATTAGTCCCCAGTGTGTGTTCAGGGACCCTTCTTATTTCAAGCCTAAGTAGGAGAGACAGAGCAGAGAGCCTGCTCTGAAGTGCATAAGAAAAAGTGAGAAGGGGGGGGGGGGGGTATATATCATCAGTGTCCTGTGTGGATAGAAGCATTTGGAAAACATCATGGGGTCTAATGATAACAGATAATGCCCGTCATGAGAGCAATACTGCCTCTGTGTTTGAAAGTGTTTTGAAAATCCTGACCTGGATGACATTTGTCTACTGAAGCAGAGAGAGGAGGGAAGTCAGTTGAGAGGCGTATAGTAGGCTTTCCTGACACACATCCCTTCAAAGCACTTAATAAAAGATCACAAGCACTTCAACTTAAAACTGTTTTGCAAGGTGGATGGGGTTTACTGCAAGATTACCAAATCAAGCACTGTCTGATACTTTCCTGTGATTGTATAGTTCTTAATGGAACAGAAAAAAATTCCTACCTTTATAACAAAACAGAGAAGATAGTTAAGCTGCAGAATATAAAGGACAGTAATAGCGTGCATCTCTCTGGCTGACAGATGGTGTCAACCCTAGTTCTAAAGAAAACCCACACGAAGTCGCATTCACGTTTCCTGTAGAGGTTCCCCATATTTCCTGTCAAGGTCACTGTCACAGTCAAGCTCAGACTGAGACTATGTATATATACACATGCATATGTACTAGCAGATTTGTGGATGTGTGTGTTAAGGTAGCTCACACAAAGCAGCAGCATTCTCTTTAGCATCAGTGATGATGTACAAATCAACAAATTTGACCATTAATGGATTTGTCTGGTGTAATTTAAAAGTCAAACTAAGCAGATCAAATTAGAAAAGCACAGGTTAGTCAAACATGGTCAAAGCCTAGTCTGTTAAACAGTACACCAAGGGATACAGACCACTGACTGTTGGAAAGATGGATGATGTAACAGCGCCCGTAAGCAAAGCCGCTGCGAGTTGATGGCCCCATGGTGGCTGTTTGTAGTAAACAATAAACTCCGCCCCTTGCACGTTAGCCGATGGGACATGAGCCAAACTAAAAACTCAAAGTACAAACCAAATAAATTTTTTCCCAGGGTGATTCTTGTCATTTTTGGTTATATTACGCTGTTGTGTGTACAAGCGGTCATTTTTCTATAAATTTGTTTTTAATTGATGATTTTAAAAAGGGATGTATTGCACGTGATTAGACAGTGTTGATTGGCAGTCTCATCTGTCACTCAACTACTCAGTCACTACTTCCCAGAATCTGGTTTCAAAAATCCAAGAGGGCAGCTGCCATTTTCATATTTTGGTTTCCCTTTTGCATAGTGCAGGGAAGTGCTTATGTGTCTTCCATATTTATATACAGTTTATGATACAGGGAAGTGTCATTGATAGTTGGCTTATGATACAGCCAAGTATGTTACACACACACACACACACACACACACAAGGAATTTGTCTCCAGTACAGACGGCAGCCATCTGCGGCACCAACTCACACAAACACACACACACACACACCGATGGCACCACCGTCCTTGCAAGGCGCTGACCTGGCCATCGGGGTTCAGTGTCTTGCCCAAGAACACTATGACATGTGGACTGGGAAGAATGGGAATCGAACCACCGACCTTGCATTTAGGGGGATAACCGTTCTACCTCCTAAGTCACAGCCGCCCCATATAGAGTTTAATCTGAAAATGAAAGATTCTCTAAAATAAATACTCAGAGGCCAAACCTTTGGAAGCCTCTGCTTTATGTTGCTTTTATGGTCAGCTGTGGCTGCATGACAGAGGGAACAGAAACACAAAACAACACTACCACTGGTTATTAAGAGACTTGTTACAAAACAATGTTGAAACTGGCATAACAGTGCAGATCTGTTCCTGGGTTTTTTGTTTGTGTGTGCACGTCGGTCAGTGCTGCACAACTGCCAACAGACGGTCCCTTTCTAGATCCATAAACGGTAAAATCAATCTAATAACAAGTACAATCACAACAAGCTACTCATTATGTCTGAATGAGATAACTGCACACCAGTGGCATCTGCCATTGTATGTTCCACAATTTTATTCTATAATATAGCCTTTCTACAAAAGGGCCTAGGCATTGCAGCAGTGCACTGATGCACTGATCCATGACCAAGCATTTCAACCCAGCCTACAATGATGCTGCTCTTTTGTATACCTATTACACTTAGCTAAACCAGCTTCATCTTCAAATCAATGTCCTGTTCTTGGACTTGATTTTTAACCCTTTGCATTTTTTTTGTGACAAATCAATTTTGCTATATTCAAAGACATTTTGTTTTAATATTTTATGCTGACAAGATAATAAGAGCAATGAAGCTCTGTCCTCATCAGATGATGGCACTGTTTGGTCCATATGGAGACAAGTATGATATATATATATATATATGTGTGTGTGTGTGTGTGTGTGTGTGTGTGTGTCGAATTAGACTGAATTACAGTGGTAGGGATGAATTTGTCAACCAATTTCTAAATAAAGTGATCATACAGTCCCAGGGTTTACACATTTTTCATACTCCCATTCTCTGCACAGGAGGAATTTGGTTTACAGTGCACACAGCAATAACTATTAAGCTTTAGCAAACAGGCTTAAATCAGCAGACCTGTGTTCATATTTTCTAATGAAGAAACAAAGTACTATAAGAGTACCATGGTTAAATGATAAAAGCTAACCATTACTATGTCTGTTAGTTAGGCATCTGCATTCGCACTGGTCACTTCGATTATCCAGTATACTTGCATGCAAAATGCTGCGCACTGCTGCCTGGGTTAATTTAAAAAAAATAAAAAAATAAAAAAACATAGGCTGGCAATATGAGGCCAACACTGACCTCAGCAACAAGTGCTGTCCATTTAAAACAATTTAAACCGTCAACTCCACAACAACAAAATTAGTCCTCAATACATTTATGTTTAAGCTATAGCCAATAAACTATGGCCTTCAACAGCCACTGTGATGTACTGACATAAATAAACAACAAACAGCATTTCAATCAACTCAGGACTTTTTTTTTCTTGTAGTCAGTCAGGTCACGTTGATGGATTATCCAGTTATTTCTTAGTGCTCTGAACACCACAAACAAAATTTGGCTCCCTCCCTATTTATTGGGTATGTGCCAGAAATATGACAGGCCAAGATCTCAAAACCTGGGCAAACAAAGACAGAACTATCTATTCCATTTCCATTTCCATTGTTCAATACCTAGAGGCCACAATCTCTAGTGACTCTAGAAGGAGAGGATACAGCCACTCAGGCAGAGACTCTAGGTCCTGCTGATCCCATTAGCATAATGTCCTGGCAAGAGATAAAACTATTTCACCTCAGCATCTTCTAAGACAGTATGTTTGCATGCTTGTTTTAAAAAATATCCTGTCCTGAAAATATTTTGGGGTCAGGATTAGTTGGAAGAACACTAAGGCACTGACAGAAGAAAACACAAGATGGTAGCACTGTATAGTCTATCCTAAAGCAATTATCAGAATTTATAAATAAGCCAAACTCGACATACTTAGACAGATACAATGAAACAATGTATAAGAAACTTATAAACAAACAGATTACAGGTAACACGAAACACTAACTCATCGTGACTCTGGATGACAGGGGCAATCGACTGAAAACGCGGCGTGAACACCCAGAAAAACACGATTCCCCCCCCCCCCCCCACACACTAAACAAAATACGGCCCTTTGCATAACCTTCGGCACAAATGGAAAGTTCTTGACAGAGGTTCAACGTTTTCCGGGTGAGAAATCAAATTAACTGTTTCTGTTTAAGTGCAGCTACAAATCTACCTTCCCTTTCCGGAACGGCAACTGTCAAGAGGGTTTCAGGTTGCAAAATTTCAGAAGCAAAGATATTTTATAAATTTTAAGTTTTTGTGCCTTACCTGAAAGATTACAATGACGTCCCAGAGAAAACCCCACACAAACTACCTGAGTGCAGACTGGGAGCGCGTGCTGTGGTGTCCGTGCTCCTCTCCAACTACGCCTGCACGCGCTGCTCCGAGCGACGTCCCTCCTCCATCTCTGTCACACACCCCCACGCGCATTTCTTATACCCGTTTTTTTTTTTTTTTTTGCATGGGTTATATATATTACTGAAATGATAACTTTCCATATGGAATTACCTAACAGTATATACACTTTACCCATAATCACTCTAGCAGAAAAACATAACTATAACTCGAAGACAAAGCAAGAACATTTCTCAACATGGAGTTTAATTGTATGGTTTTATTGCATGAATTGTAGCTGCAGAGAAACGTTTCAGATGAATACAGTTGGGATTGAAGCATCCTGCAGTAAAGAGAGGTGGACACTCAGATGGCACAGATAATGTTGTTCACCTTTGTCCTTATACCACAAGACCAGCGCTTATATACTGCATTAAAACCGCAACTGCACTGCTGAGAGGAAGGGGTGGAACCGTACTTTTTAACATTGCAACACCAATTGTGCACGGATTTGTCAAATGTGCTTCACTGCCTTAAAATGGGAAATGAATCCAACTCCGGGGTGAGCTTGACATGCTGTCGCTGCTGCAGTCACTGCAGAGTAGTGATATATAATGCAGTGTGGTAGTTATTGCTGGCTACTTGTTTTATTGTGGGTGATTTTTGTCATAGGCCATCTGGGCGAGAGAAAATGAGAGGAATTTCACTGTGCTTTGGTGTATTACTCCCTCCAGCTGCCCGTTCAGTTAAGATAATACCATATGATCACAGCAGGGGGGGGGGGGCAACGAAACAGACCGTCCAAATGCAGTATACAAGCCCAAACTCTGTGTGGATTAAGACTTGGAGCATTGACTCCATCTACAGGTTAGTTGTTGTACTGCAATGAAAGAGGGACTGACATATTCAAGTCTTTTTTGCTAAGATAGTTTATATAGTAAAAATAATCTGCTGCCTTTAAAGTAGACCGGCCACACATTAAAACAAAATTATTACCGTATGACTTGTAAAATGGTTTCTCAAAACTATTCAAAGTAACTTGGTCACTCAACTGTCACTAAAAAAAGCAACCCAATTAAATAACGGTGGTATTCTATTGTGCCAGAGTGCATCTGTTCCCACCCCACCTCCCCACAACTTATCCTATTTAAAATATAGGACTCAAACATATGGGATCTAATCTTAATACACTCATTCATACTATGACCATATAATGAATAAAAAAATAAACACATTTAACCAATACAAATAATTTTAGTAGGCAAATTAGCAAAGGAACAAATCATCACCCACAGTGGTATTGTTAACATTTTTTCAAGTGTAGGATTTTTCAATAAAACCATTATCACCTCTTATTAATTAAACCTGGTATAAAGCCCCTTCACTGGTGTGAATGTGTTGTTGAGCTAAGTGAAAGATCAGTCTCCACTCAGTCATCTATAGGGCTGAAAGTGAGCATTAGCTCACTGAAGGCTGAATTGTAATATGTAGCACAATCACATAGAAAGTAGTAGATGCTGATGATTTATGTTGGCAAAGGGACCCAAACCAGCTCTTGGCTTTGGCCAAAAAGCTGTGGGCGCAAGATGTGCATGTCTACATGTCTTCAGTCCTGTAAAAAGGTAATATGAAACGGTCTCTTTTACATGTATTTTTAAGTTTTTTTTTCTGATGCATTTTTGTAAAAATCTTTTATAACTTGTTTAGACATAACAAAGCAGAATAAACAGAGAAATCAACCAACAAAAAAAGATCTCATGCACAAAAGTTATGTCCCACTCTTACTGATTGCATTTGTAAGTAACCATTTAAAAAAAAACAGTGTATATATAATTTGTTTGTTGTTCAACATAACATCTTTAGTACACTTTAAGCCATACATACAATACTTTTTTAAATAAAATTTTTTTTATCCTGTTCTCCAGCCAGCAGCTCCAGGTATTGCTCCAGAGTAGATTCCAGAACTGTCTATTCCTGTACAGCAGGAGGCGTTAGAGGCATGTTGTCTAGGTGCTGGCTGTGGGAAGGAAAACTGCTCCATAAAAGAAGCTGTTGGGAAGCAAATGAGCATTTAGAATTCAGCCTAGGTCCAAGAAATTAAACTCCATTTCTTATAACAATTCCTTTTTTTTGGTCTTTTTTATTCTGATAGACAGATACTGAGACAGATGCTGTAGATGTTTCAATACCACTAACTACCACCCAAAGCTGGGGGCAGAAGTGGGACATGAGAGTCAGCTGTAGACAAGGATGGGGGAAGATCACCCCTATCTGCAGAGGTCCTCATGTGTAGCATCTCACACATTTTTCCTCTTCTTGCTGTTGCCCTGGTGTGGTTTGCTGCTCGGATGACTTTTGGTGCTGGAGGAGCTCTGCTGCCCGTCGTGGCCAGTCTTATGGTGGGACCGTGGCATCCTGGCCTGGATTCAGAACACAAACACAAAATTGGTGTTTCTGCAGGATTCTCCTTTGGTATTAAATCTAGTACAGGCTTCTAACAGTGAAGAAATGTGACAAGTATATCATTTTCTAGGTGTACATGTATGCATAAGGTAAAGCTCAGGGTACTTTTTCTCCCTTGCTGCTTCCAGATGGAGTGCTGGTACTGTGGCTCTGTGTTCGGTGATTAGTGACGCCAGCTGACTTTTCTCTGTGGGCGCTCGAGCCACGGCCAGACTGCTGCTTGGCTGTCTTACATGGCGTGCCATCAGAGTCCTTGGGAGAATGAACAAAAAGATGAAAAATGTCAGCAAGACATCTTCCCCATGAAGCTTGAGGTAGTACAAATGAATGCAAATTTGAAATACATGAAGGCTGGGTGTGTGTGTGTGTGTGTGTGTGTGTGTAGCTGCAGGACTGACCGCATCGCTGGAGCTGGCGGTGGAGGATGTGGGAGAAGGCGACAGCGGAGAAGAGGAGGGAGAAGAGTGCAGTGAAGGGGATGGAGAGGAGGAGTTTGAGGAGGATTTACTGTGGGGAGTCGACGGAAGAACTACAACAATGTTGTCATCATCTGGAATGTTGTTGTTGCACTCATCGAGTTGCTGGGACTCTAACAGCATGACATCGTTTCCTACAAAAACAAACAAGGAACAAACGTAAACACAAAGGTCAGGTCAACTTTTAGAGCCCTGCCAGGTCCAGCCCACAGCAGGTCAGAGTCACCAGGAACTGCTGACCTGTACCTCTTTTCCAAAACTGGGTCAAATTTTAGTTACTGGGACTTCACTAAATATCACATTAAAAAGTTGAAGAGTCAGTACGTACTGTTGAGTGTCAGATCATTCTGAGATGGGCTCCCCCAGGTCTTGCGGATCCATTCCCTGTATTCATCCACTTCCTGTGTCACTCGGATTATTCTGCCAAGTATACTGTGATAGGACACAGAAGGTGTACCTGTTACACTTGTGCTTACAGTATGTGCTGGTGTTTATATCAGTCATCTGGAAGTAAATATTCCTGGTAATGACTTGATATTTTCATTATTATTAAATAAAGCCATGACAAGGATCACAAGTGAAATGCTCTAATCTTATGAAATCACCAGTGACAATAAACTGACTACAAAGAAGGCACTATCATCTGATTTGGATATCAGATGATATTCTGATATATGACTGACAGCTTCTTTCCTCACCTCTCAGTCTCATTATTGGGATAGTACTTGGCAATGGGTGACACAGCGTGGTTGAGCACCACATAGGCGTAGTCAAATGCCTGCTTCACCTGCATGGCACCATATGAACTCCGGCCGACATCATTGTCTGTCCGATACAAAAAAATATGGTCGGTTTGTATATGCATGCCAATGCATGCCATTCAAATATCTGGAGAAGAAATACTAATTTTTGACCCTTCAAGGACAAGCCCACTTCCCAACCTTTATCATTAGTGTTTACTGTTCTTACCTGGCTGCAGAGGGTCCTCAATGTAGAGCATGGAGGGCCTGTAGCCATCCATCATGTTCTTCTGAACCTCGTCTTTGGCAACGTAGCAACCTCCATCTTTTATCCGGATGCCCGTCTTCAGGTAGTTGAAATGTCGACCATAGAGCTCAAAAAATTCAATGAGCAGAACGCCGATGTTGATGTTGGGACTACACACGTCCTCCCTGTAGTGGAGCTGGAAAAGAATGCAGCACGAGCCGATATCAAAGTTTTGTGAGCATTAAAGAGAGTTGGAATTTCAGCAACATCATTTCACATCACAGAAGTGATGTGAAATGATGTTAATGATGTTCCGGTTGGGTTAATAAACACAAAAGAAAAAATTCCTGAGGTAAATAAGGATAAGGAAACATCTACAGTACTTACACCAATCTCTATCACAGACAGGCATAAGATGACAAAACATGAACAGCTCTTGTTAATGATAAAGTATATCTGACCTGCAGGAAGCTGACAGCCATGAGGAAGAGACTGTAAGAGCCGATTCCACCAGTAAAAACCTCATTGAGGTCCCTCTGCAGTAGGAACTGCTTCAGCACCAGCACCAGGTAAGGCAGCACAGGGTATTTCTACAGGACAAACCCAGACATGGTGAGGACACAGTAGGGAACAGCTCTGATGTTTACAATAGCCTCTAGAGAAAAAGAACTGAAAATTAAATACAAGTCCTGGAGTAGTGGCCTGTATATACAGCATGTAGGGCCTGCTTGAAACATTCAAAACCTGCCATGCTACAAATTAACACCTTGTTTTTGACATTTGTTAGTAATGTAAGTTCACTTGAGTTATGAAATATTTACTCTTAATAAGCCACACATGCCATTAAATCTCCATAGCAATGTATTTGACATGACTTCCTGTGGTGTTCAGTGCTTGTTAAAATGTGCTACTAAATGCTACATGCGATACTACGAAACCCTTATGTTCTAAAAAAGCAAGAACACCAGGAATGTGGGCATTTAAAAAAATCTCAACTTCCTCCTAACACAACAGCAGTGTAGAGCAGTGAAAGTGTGAACCGTACCTCTTTAAATTCCTTAATAAGCTGAGCAGCTTTAACACCACTCTTCACATTGAAGCTGATATCCACTTTGACCTCAGTGACTGACTCAGTCAGTTTGATGATGGGAACCTGGGAACACACACATTACACAGTCAGAGAGCAGTAAGTGAGGCCCAAGCTGCCCGCTCCTGACCCTTGGGCTTAGAAAAAAAAAAACAATTGTAGGTAAACTTGTATCCATAATTGTACTGTAGACCTTTAGTAAGTCTGGAAACAGCACACACAAGTAATCATACACAAACCCATGTTTGATCAAATCCTTAACTAAACTCCTTGGGCAAAGATTGAAGGTGCTAATCTGCTCTTAATAATTTATTCAATATTAATATTAAATCTTACCAAAAGAAAAGCTTTGCTCAAACCCTTTAAGTCCTGAAATGAAATAAACTCAAATAAAGAGGAAAATCTGTTTGTTATGCACCATTTAGAAATGACACAGATCACTCACCAGTTAGGAGTGCATTTACACACATAATCAGGAAGACATAAGAGCTCCAAAGTGATGAACTAGTTCCAAGCACACTACACTACCAATACTTTATCTGAGACACTGGGCAATATAAACATGGCATCTTAATTCTGAGGAAACTGTTGCCAACTAAGCTACAGCAACCTAATAGCTAACCGGTGTAGTCATGGTTTGGGAACTGTCACTGAAATTTGTATGAATGTGATTTAGAGTTTGTGAAACTGGCACACTGTTGACTGTTATCAGTCATATTTGCTGCAATTCAGACAGTCTTACTTGTGGACTTACATGGTAAAACACTGACAAATCCACATTTTACTGCAAAATAAATCCTTGTTTTGTTATAAATCTGTTGAACACAACTTTTAAAAGCAGAGAATTGCATTTCATCCAGAAACTTATGTACAAAGTTAACACACAAATCCTAACACAGTATAAGCTGTGAAGAGACAATAATCTCTCAAATTGCACAATTTATTCCATATACTGAACATTTTTTACACAAATGTAATATTTTATTAAACTCCCTGTCCATGGAGCACATATAAAAAAGCAAAATAAATCAAATACTGCAACACAATGCACACTTGTGAGTGAGTGCAGTCTTACCGTGGCCTTGTCCAAAACTTTGATGGAGTTCTCATCTGCAACATTTCTCCTCCGGAGGGCCTCTTCCAGTGTCCAGAGAGGGAGCGTCTCCCACTTCCCAAATACTACCAAGTCAATGTCACTGGTGGCAAAAAGACAGGTGTGAATTGTCCATTCTTTTAAATACAAAAGGACCTTGTATAAAAACACAGAGTGCAATGCTGAAGTATCTCTGTTTCTCTCATAGCAAAATG